TAAGTGCTATTTAATTTTTAAGCGTAACAACAGGCTCAGGTAGCCCACACCTTATTACACCATCACCCCAGACAGGGAGGTAATAGCCAATGCTGAGGCTACCCCACCCCTTTGAGGATGTACTTGGCTCCTCCAGGTTGCAGTAAGAGGCTGTGGTCCCCTGACAGACTCCAGAAAGCCCCTCCATTCTTTTAGAGTGCACCAGAACTATTTGTACCACAGTCCCAAGCTCTCTTAGAGGGAGGATTGCCTAGCAGAGGATAGTTCCATACTGCTTCTTCATGATCCTATTGATTCAGCTTCCTAGGGTGACATTTTCTCATCCCAATACCGGATTAGTGGAACCTCCTTGGCAGGAACTTCCTCTATAAAAAGCAAAAAAATAAAACTAGACTTTAGAGGAGGTGCCACAACCTTGTGGCTTAGTGCCAGAGGTAGGGACCATTCATTCCTTTCAGAACCATTGTAAGGGTGTGAGATGGTGTTGCAAAGGTCCACAACATTCATTCTTCAATGAATATTTGAGTGCCAGGCAATATGTTAGATTCTGAGGAAAAAACAATTAACTGCCCCTTTCAAAGTTTCTACCTTTTCCAATCATACAGTCTGAACACAAACATGTCAGTATAACCATGTAATTAAAAGGTATGGTAAGTGCCTGGAAAGCAAAGTTCCAGGTTCTGAAAGTGTCTCTAATGGGGAATAAGGAAAGCCTCTCTTTAGGAAGGGCACTTAGTCTGATCCCTAGAGGATTAGCCAGGAAGAGAGTTGGGGGAAAACACTCTAGGAATAGTATGTAGCTTTGCCACTGTGGAGGAAGAGAGAAAGATAGAGAGAAACCAAAAGGACAGAAGCAGAGTGAGGGTGAGAAGCTTGTGATGATGTTGGCAGGAACCAAGTGATGCAGGATTTTGAAGTAGTAGGAGTGATATCAGTCATCATTGCTCTGATGATGATGTTGAAGATGGTGATATATTTATATCTACATTGTTCCAAACTAGCTGTGTGATATATGCTGGTTTTTTCCCACTACCCCCGGGCTTGAAAATGTATGGGGGTGTTTAAGAAGAAGAATGTATATATGGAGTGCATGAGACAAGTGTTGAGAGATGACTCTGGACAGATCAAATTGGGGCAAAATTATGAAAAGTTTTATATTCTGTGAGGGCAGTAGGGGGTGAGGTATTATATGTGTGTGTGTGTGTGTGTGTGTGTGTGTATATGATATATATATATATATATCATATATATATATGATCAGACAAATCATGCTATGAGTTCAAGAGGAGACAGGAGGCTGGAGCAGTCAAGGAGAGTGCACCTTAAGCTGAGCTGTGAAGGATGAGCAGTCATGCAGAAGGCTTAAGTGCCTTTATTCTGCTTCCTTTCTCAGGTGGTTCCACAAGTTTTTGGGCGGATGGTGGGTAAAAGCCGTGAGGCTGTGGCCCAGGCCATGGTGTTGGAGATGTTCCGGGAAGAGGATTACTACAATGATGATGTCCTGGACCAGATGGGTGCCAGTATCCTGGGAATAGAGGGCCCCCGGCGCCACCCAGATGAGCCCCCCGAGGATGAGGTCTTTGAGCTCTTCCCCATGTTCATGGGAGGACTTCTCTCTGCCCATAACCGGGCCATGCTGGCTCAGCTTGGCTGCCCCATTAAGAACCTTGATGCCCTGGAGAATGCCCAGGCCATCAAGAAGAAGCTGGGGAAGCTGGGCCGGCAGGTGCTACCCCCTCCGGAGCTCCTTGACCACCTCTTCTTCCACTATGAGTTCCAGAATCAGCACTTCTCTGCTGAGGTGCTCAGCTCCCTGTGCCAACTCAACTTGGCAGGTGTGCGCATGACACCCCTCAAGTGCACAGTAGTGGCAGCTGTACTGGGGAGTGGAAGGCATGCACTGCATGAGGTGAACTTGGCCTCTTGCCAGCTGGACCCTGCTGGGCTACGCACACTCATGCCTGTCTTCCTGCGTGCTCGAAAGCTGGGGTAAGGACCTTATGCACAGACATGAAGAGAGGAGAGGATAGGGGTGAAGAAGTGGGAAGAGAAGGTGCTAGGGAAACCAAAGGTACTGAGGAAAGACCAAAGGATGGGATGAAAGAGTGGTGTGGGTAGAGGTGACAAGAGCAATAGAAGGGAGGACAGGTGTGGACTGCAAGAGTCAGGATGGTAAGAAAGGGGCCTGGTGGATGGGCAGACCCTATGCTGAATTCCTTCTTTGGTTTCACACCTCTCTTTTGGTCACCTTTTGCTTCAGCTTGCAACTCAACAGCCTGGGCCCGGAGGCCTGCAGGGACCTCCGAGACCTGCTGCTGCATGACCAGTGCCAAATTACCACCTTGCGGTAAGCGTCTGGGGAGAGGGCTGGAGGGAGGCTCTGAACACTCTGGTAGCCACCTAAGGTCAAGGGTCTGTCCTGCCTCAATATACCTGGCACAGGCCTACCCATGGTGTAGTAAAAGGGTGGGAGTCTGGCCCTGTCCTGCCCCCCATGTCCAGTACAAGCAATAGGATGGAAATGTGGGTGCGATGTCACCAGCTATAGGTGCTAAGAAAGCCTCTCATGTGGCTAAAATCAGCCTGGGGAAGGGGTAGAATAATACCCAGGCCAGTTGCCTGGTAACAGTGCCACTGATCCCTTCCCAGGATTTTTCTTGTTGCTTTACAAGGATGACCTTGATGCTGGGCCCTCAACAGATGCTCCCAAAATGTTGACTGATTTACTAGGAACTCACTCTCTTGGGTTTCTGATTTCTGGTTCAAATAAGGAGAGGAGAATAAGGAACGAGAAAGGAGGAAGGGCAAGAAGAATGGGGCAGTGGGGTCTGGGGAGGAGGTGAGATAAAGAGGAAAAAGGAAAATGGTAATGAAGAAGAGGAAGGGGAGTAGGGAATCAGCAAAGGAGAATGGAAGAAGGGAAAAGAGGGGAAGAGAAGCTGGCTTCTGCCCCATTCTCCCTCCCTGGCATTGTGCCCCACCTGCTATTTCTCCATCCTCTTCTGAACCTGCACTTCTGTGTCCAGGCTGGTCCCTCTCCCAGGCTGTGTACCCTTTTGGCCCAAGCACAGTCTCTACCATGGTCCTTATAACCTTGGGGTGTTTGTGGCTGTATGTAGGCTGTCCAACAATCCACTGACAGCTGAGGGTGTGGCCTTGCTGGTGGAGGGGCTAGCAGGAAACACTTCACTGACACACCTGTCTCTGCTACACACGGGCCTTGGGGACAAGGGCCTGGAGCTGCTGGCTGCCCAGCTGGACCGTAATCAGCAGCTACAGGAGCTGAACGTAGCCTACAATGGTGCTGGTGACACAGCAGCCCTGGCCCTGGCCAAGGCTGCCTGGGAGCATCCTTCCCTGGAGCTGCTACAGTGAGTCTTATCCCTGGTCATTACCCCATCCCAGCCTGAGACTGTGTTTCCCATCCTCAGTCTTCCTTCTCTCTCTCCATAGTGCTTTTTCTACCCTAGGGGGTGGGCCTGGGCCTGTCCTCTCATCCTGGCTTCTGACTGATGTTTGTCAACCTGCTCTGAGGCAACCTCCTCTGTGATTGGCCTTTACCCTACCCTGATTCCCTACTACCATTTCTCTTAGGTTCCTGGTGGCTCCATTCCTACTCTTCCTGTTCTCACTAAATTCTAGTGTCATTCCTTTCTCCCACTGGCTACCACCTTCTATCTCTGGCCTATTGCAAACATACCCCATCCATATTCCATAGCCAGGGGCTAAGTTGTGGGACCTGCTCACTCTCTGTCCACCCACCACCCTATGCCACTTCTCAGAGCCTCGGTGAATGACATCTACTCTTATTTCTCCTGCTAGCCTCTACTTCAATGAGCTGAGCTCAGAGGGCCGCCGGGTCTTGCGGAACTTAGGGGGCACTGCTGAAGGCAGGGCCCAGGTTGTGGTATCGCTGACAGAGGGAACAGCAGTGTCAGAGTACTGGTCGGTGATCCTCAGTGAAGTCCAGCGGAACCTCAACAGCTGGGATCAGGGACGGGTCCAGCGCCACCTTGAGCTATTGCTGCAGGATCTGGAAGATAACCGAGGAGCCACCCTTAATCCTTGGCGCAAGGCCCAGCTGCTTCGAGTGGAGGGCGAGGTCAAGGCCCTCTTGGAGCAGTTGGGAGGCCCTGGGCACTGAGACAGTGGCAGCAAGCACCTAGCTGTGTGACTCCTATCCCCAAACCTCTTCCCTCTGTGGCCTCCTGGCTTGCACTACTATTTCTATAAAAATCCCTTGCCCTGGCTGGTGTGGCTCAGTGGATTGAGTGCTACCCTGTGAACCAAAGGTCACCTGTTTCATTCCCAGTCAGGGCACGTGCCTGGGTTGCAGGCCAGGTCCCCAGTAGGGGGTGTGTGAGGGGCAACCTCACATTGACATTTCTCTTTCTCCCTCCCTTCCCCTCTCTATAAATAAATAAATAAATAAATAAATAAATAAATAAATAAAATCTTAAAAAAAAAAAAAAAAAAAAGATCCCTTCATGGCTAGAGGCAAAAGCCTGGGCACAGCTGTACCAGTGACCCTCCAGGAACATGTCCAACCAAGCCTCCCAGGTTTGGAATTTCCAGGGTCATGAAACATTCCTCCTTTTCCTTGGGCTAGAAGGATGGAAGGATGTGGCATTTCCATGACTGAATTGCCCTGTAGCACCGCCACAAGGTTGGTTGCTTCTCTCAAGGGGCCTCTGTGCCACTACGGAGGGCACTTCTTATGTCGGCCTGCCTAGGGGTGTTGCTGTCCAGATGTGTTGGAGGGCTTCTACCTCTTGCCTTTATACTTTCTGTGGACACTCAGGATACCTGCAGCCACTTTCTTTTCTCATTGGTGCCTTCTCCCCAGCCTCATGCTCCTTTTAACCACAATGATTCTTGTGCTCAGTGGTCCTACAGGTATGTGCACTGATTTGTTCCTATTAAAAAGTTGTCTTCCACCTACCTACTTTGGCCTCTGCCTGGTGCTTTCATGGAAGGGCACTGTTCTTGGCCATTCTGATTAAACTGCTGATCACTTTTTGCTACAAATAGTTCTTAGGTACTAAGTTCAAAGTGCCTGAACTGGGGGGACTCATGATATTGCTGTATGGGTAGGTTATGCTGGGCTTTAGGACTCCTATCATCCCTTTCATACATTCCTACCTTAGGCTTGGAATTAAAGTAGATCAGCAATCAACCTTTCTCTGCACCTAGCAGGAGCTGGGACAGCAGGGGAGTGTCTAAAGAAGTTGGGGCCCAGGAATGGATACAGGGGAACATGAATACTTCCCTAGGGATAAGGCTCTCCTTGTTTAATCATTATCCCACTGCTTCCAAGGCAGTGTCTTCAAGGAGGCGGGACTGGGTGGGAGGTAAATGAGAAGGTTGTCTGGTTTCAGTGGACTTTGTCCCTACCCTGAGGACTGGGTTGTTGATTTAACTATGGAGGCAGCTGCAGGTAAGAGGCTGGGAGATATCCCCTAGAGGGGACTTCAGGATAGTCCGGTGTAGATTGGGAGGCTGAGGTATTATAGACTAGGGCACACTTGATGTTGGTGCTTGGAGTCATGAAGCAAATAGACTGGGAGTCAGGAGAGAAGAGGTGAGTGGAAGTGTCTGTCTTCCTGCTCCACACCCTGTACAGATTTCTGTACCGTGGCCTCAGGGGGAGGGGAAGGAAGGGAAAGGAAAGACCTTTTTGGAGTAGAATGGAAGGTACACGTCCTGAGTTTGGGGATTTCCCTAAGTCCTTTCATTTAATGACCATGGAAGGGGCTAGAGAAAGCACCTCTTTTCCCCTCATCCCATTTTTGCCCAGCAGATCTTCAGGACACAGCTTCGTTAACTCTGTAAGTGGTATCCTGTGAAGGGTTGGGGTAAGGGGAAGAGGAAATCGAAGGTGGGGAAGCTCTTCAGCTGCTATTAGCATTGCAAGTACAGTCTGGCACCTCCTTGCAGGAAGTTTCAGTTTAACCCAAAGCTGGGCATTGATAATCCTGTCCTGTCTCTGGCCGAAGATCACAACCTTTCTGGTAACCGCATCTGATAACCCCTTTACCCGCAGGGCAACCATTCCACTCCCCAAGAGATACCACAGCTCTGCACAGCCTCCCATCTCCTTGATAACCACTCACCTGTTTCCCTCTGATAATAGCCTTTGTTGGGAGTGACCACATGGACCGAGAAGGGGGCCAGGAGTTTCCTTCTGCTTTAGCCACTCTGCCCACACAGTGATTGGCCCTACTGCTCAAAACTTAACTGGGTAGAAGTCCGCCTGGTGTCCTATAAAGCAAACAGCATCTGTCAGGCACAAGGTGACTTGTATTTGGGCCACATCCCTCCTCCCCCTTTTCTGCTGCCCACTTTCCCATCCAGATCTCTGGAACCTGGAGCGACCTCGCTTCTGCCTGCTGAGTAAAGAAGAGGGCAGGAGTTTTGGCTTCCATCTACATCAGGAGCTGGGCAAGGCCAGTCATGTGGTGTGCAGGGTGGAGCCAGGCTCCTCAGCCCAGCAGCAGGGTCTTCGGGAAGGAGACCGGATCCTGGCAGTGAACAACCATGTTGTGGAACATGAAGATGCCGAGGTGGTGAGGTTGGGCTGGGACTCCTCCTGGTATTGGAGAATGTTCCATAACATGACAGAGAGAGAGAAGCCAGGATCACCTCTTAGGTATATGGGGCAGTACCCAAGCCTTAATCTACCACACTGCCCAGGATTTGGGGGTACCCAGTTCAGAATATTTGGGTAGAGGCATACAGAAAGCTGGTTTTCATGCTGAAAGTTACATATTCCAGGGATGGGGAGTTGGCAAGAGGGGCCAGCTCCAACCTTGCCCTCCGTTTAGGTGGTACTCCGCATCCAGGCCAGTGGTCCTCGAGTGCTGCTGACGGTTTTGGCGCAGCACGTGTATGATGTGTCCCGAGCTCAGCAGGGGAATGATGTCCTCCTCTGTCCTACTCTCAGCCCAGGGGTCCGGCCCCGTCTGTGCCATGTAGTGAAAGATGAGGGTGGTTTTGGCTTTAGTGTCACCTACGGTGAGCTTAGAGTTTTGGGAGGGAAGTTGGGAGGGGGAATCTCAGCCCCGCTCCAGGCAGCCAGCAGACTAACACTTGCTTTTTTTTTTTTTAATTCCAGAACATCAGGGTTCTTTCAGGTTGGTGCTGAGTACTGGAGGAGCAGCTGAGCGGGCAGGGGTGCCCCCTGGGGCCCGACTATTAGAAGTGAATGGGGTCAGTGTGGAGAAGTTCACTTATAACCAACTCAGCAGAAAGGTATGGCTGCCTGCTTCCATATTTATCCTTCACCCTTCTGCACCTGGGGCACCTGCCCCAGGACGCAGGTTCCTCTCCCAAGCACCAAATCACCTGATCTGATTTTGTATTTCCATTACCCATCCTTCCCTTTACTGTTTATGCTAGGCCCTTCTCTCCCCCATCCTTAGTGCCTCATTCCTGGGCCTGGGAAGAGGGGCTATGAGGGGGTGCCTGCCTCTGCATTCCCTACCCAGGTAGGTGATACTGAAGCCCTGCTGTGTCCCCACAGCTTTGGCAGAGTGGAGAGCAGGTCACCCTTCTGGTGGCAGGACCAGAGGTGGAGGAACAGTGTCGCCAGCTGGGAATGCCTCTGGCTGCACCCCTGGCAGAGGCCTGGGCACTGCCTGCCAAGCCCCGGTGTTTGCACCTAGAGAAAGGGCCCCAGGGCTTTGGGTTCCTGCTCAGGGAGGAGAAGGGTCTTGGTGGTCACCTCGGTGAGTGGGAGCCCTGGGAGTGGGTAGGGAAGGTGGACCTTGGGGTGGGCTTACACGTGTACATATGTACTTCATTGCACATTAGTGGTGTCTCTGTCTGAGCCCCAGCCCTTGGCTTCCTCCTCCTGTGTACCCCTGGTTCAGTCCCCCACTGTCCCTGGGCTGGCATTGGGGTAATCGGGGAAGGGGCAGTGAAGATGTATATTTCCCAGGGCAGTTCCTTCGGGAGGTGAACCCAGGACTGCCAGCCGAGAGGGCCGGGATGCAGGATGGGGACCGGCTGGTAGCTGTGGCTGGGGAGAGCGTGGAAGGGCTGGGCCATGAGGAGACAGTGTACAGGATCCGGGCACAGGGTTCCCGTGTCTCCCTCACTGTTGTTGACCCAGAGGCTGACCACTTCTTCAGCATGGTGAGAGTTGAGTAGCAGGGGATAGGGTGGGATCAGGAGTGGAGTGGGGCTCAGGTGGAGGGAGAAGCAACAGGTTTGTTCTATCTGCCTCCTTCCAGGTTCGCCTGTCTCCACTCCTCTTCCTGGAGGGCACAGAGGCTCCTGCCTCTCCCCAGGACACCTGCTTAGCCTCTCTGGTTGAGACCAAGGATCCACCAGTTGAAGACACAGCTGTGCCTCCTATCCCATGTGGGTCTCACCAGTGCTTCTTATACCCTGGGCCTGGTGGTGGCTATGGCTTCCGACTCAGCTATGTGGCCAGTGGGCCTTGTCTTTTTATCTCCCAGGTGACTGATGTCCCATTGGCCTTGGACCCTATCAATATTTTCCTCCTGGTGAACATTCCTTTGCTTCCCTCCAGACCCTTAGCGCACCCAGCAAAATTTTCCATGGTCTTCCTCATTCCGTATATCATCCCCAATCCCCAGGTGATTCAAGGAAGCTCAGCTGCCCAGGCAGGACTGCAAAGGGGAGATGTGATTCTGGAGGTGAACGGGAATTCTGTGGATGGATTCAATGACCTGGAAATGCTTCGGCAGCTGACTGAAGCTGAGCCACCTCTGTGCCTGAAACTGGTGACCAGATTTCCATAGGGCTTGGAAGCATAGACTGCCTCAGGGTCTGTAGAGGTGAGAAAGGAGAGGGACTGTGAGCAGTCAGAGAAGGACAGAGGGGGACCAGAGAGGTGGGCAGAGCAGGGGGGCTGCAGGATGGGGCACAAAGGTTGGGACTTTAGGCCTTGGAAGGTGGGGACAGAAGGACCCATGGAACAAGTCCTATTACTGGGCATTGCAGGAAAAAGGAATTCTTCTGATCCTTGAATGACCTTCTCTCTCTGCTTAGGAGTGGGCTGTAGTCTCAGATCTGTTGTAGTGCCCTTCTCCTTAGCACAGGCCTACCCAGCAGCTTTCCTGTCTTCCTTCTCCAGCTGCAGGTGGTAGAAGCTGAGTTGCTCTCTTTACGCCAAAAACTGGATCTCTAGGGCTCTGGACAATCACAGACTTACCCAGAGTCTCCCTTCCTCCCATGGGGCTCACCTCCCTGAAGAGGATGTGGTCAGAGGCCTCAGGATGGTCCACTAGGAATCCTGCCCTCTAACTCCAAAGGAACCCATGTGGGAGCTTTGGAAGCTTTGCCCCAAGGATGAAGTTCTTTCTGCCTAAGATGAATTGTGTGATTTCATGATTTATAATAAGAAATATATATTTGGTCTTCATACTTATTTCTGGCACAGAGCTCTTATAACCCTTGGAACTTCCTAAGTAATAAGAGCAATAAAAGTTGGGGAAGTGGGGGGAGGATGGTTGCCAGGAGAACAAACCTGCATTTACAGGGTTGAAACTTTCAGCCCTACCCCCACTCCCACCCCACACTGGCTTCCTAGGTGGGGAGAGGGGCCGAAGTGGTTTAAATCAATCATGCTTATGTAATGAAGCCTCTAAAAAACCCAAAAAAGCCAAGACTCAGAGGGCTTCCAGGTTACTGAACATGTGGAGAGGACAGAAGCTACCATGCCCATGCCCTGCCCTGGGCATCTGTTACCTCTGACTTCCTGAATTGTATCCTTTATAATAAACTGGTAATTAAGTAAGTAAACTGTTTCCCTGAATTCTTTTTTTAATATATTTTATTGATTATGTTATTACAGTTGTCCCATTTCCCCCCTTCATTCCCCTCCACCCTACACACCCTCTCCCTCCCACATTCCCCCCTTTTAGTTCATGTCCATGTGTCTTAAGTTCTTTAGCTTTTACATTTCCCATACTATTCCTGCCCTCCCCCTGTCTATTTTCTGCCTGCCATCTATGCTACTTATTCTCTGTACCTTTCCCCGCCTCTCCTCCTCCCACTCTCCTGTTGCTACCCCTCCATGTGATCTCCATTTCTGTGGTTCTATTCCTGTTCTGATTGTTTCCTTAGTTTGTTTTTATTTTAGGTGTGGTTGTTAGTAATTGTGAGTTTGCTGTCATTTTAGTATACATATTTTTTATCTTCTTTTTCTTAGATAAGTCCCTTTAACATTTCATATAATAAGCGCTTGGTAATGATGAACTCCTTCAACTTGACCTTATCTGAGAAACACTTTATCTGCCCTTCCATTCTAAATGAAAGCTTTGCTGGATAGAGCAATCTTGGATTGTCCTTGGATTTCATGACTCGGAATACTTCTTTCCAGCCCCTTCTTGTCTGTAAGGTCTCTTTTGAGAAATCAGCTGACAGTCTGATGGGAACTCCTTTGTAGGTGACTGTCCCCTTATCTCTTGCTGCTTCTAGGATTCTCTCCTTCATTTTAACCTTGGCTAATGTAATTCTGATGTGCCTTGGTGTGTTCCTTCTTGGGTCCAACTTCTTTGGGACTCTCTGAGCTTCCTGGACTTCCTAGAAGTCTGGTTCCTTTGCCAGATTGGGGAAATTCTCCTTTATTATTTGTTCAAATGAGTTTTCCTCTTGTTGCTCTTCCTCTTCCCCTTCTGGTACACCTATGATTAGGATGTTGGAGCGTTTAAAGTCGTCCTGGAGGTTCCTAAGCCTCTCCTCATTTTTTCTGAATTCTTGTTTTTTCATTTTGTTCTGGTTGAATGTTTCTTTCTTCCTTCTGGTCCACTCCATTGATTTGAATTCCAGTTTCCTTCCCATCACAATTGGTTCCTTGTGCATTTCCCTTCATTTCAATTAGTTTAGCCTTCATTTGTTCCTCTAGTTTGTGACTAAAATCAACCAGTTTTGTGAGCATCCTGATCACCAGTGTTTTGAACTGTGCATCTGATAGGTTGGCTATCTCTTTGTCGCTTAGAAGTATTGGCTCTGGGGTTTTAGCTGTTTTTCTGCTTGAGCCATAATATTTTGGTCTGTTCACACCTATTATATATGAGGGGCAGAGCCTTAGGTGTTCACCAGGACAGGACAACCCAAGTCGCTGGGTTGTGATGCTATTTATGGGGGCGGAGTCTGAGGGGGAAAAAATGGCGCTTTGCTTCACTCTCTGTTGCATCTCAGTCCCTTCCACCACTTCCTCCAAGCAAACTGGACTTTTCTGGTGCTGATTCCCATGTGGGTAGGCTTCTGTGCATTCTAGGACGCTGTGTGTTTCTCCAACAAACTTTTCTGTGAGGGTGGGAGCCTCTCCCTGTACCTCGACCCCTACAAGTGTTTTTGATTGGTGTTTTGAGGCTTTATTTCCTGGTGCTAGGACCCTGGGTTGTGCAATCTGTCTCCCCAGTTATCTGTGTGAATGTGGGACTGCTGCCCGGTCAACCAACTACCTTGCGCATGGTACCAGCTTCTCAATTGCTGCCTCGCTGGTTCTGCCCATTGCCACCTCACGCCTGGGGTCTGTCAGCTGCCGCCTGGGTGCCCAGGGGTCTGCCCAGTGCCACCTTGCATGCCTGGGGTGACTTGCGAACCCGGTGTCATTGCTTCCTGTGCTGACCCCTCTCTGCTCATCTGCCTGACTCTGCCCCGCCTACTTGTCTGGATGAATGTGTCTATTTTAACTCTTTGGTTGTCGGACTTCCATACAGTTCAATTTTCTTTCAGTTTTGGTTGTTGCTTTGTTTCTGAATTGTTATTATCTTTATTTTGGTTGTTCAAGGAGGTATAGTGTGTCTACCTATGCCTCCATCTTGGCCAGAAGTCCTGTTTCCCTGAATTCTATGAGGCCCTTTAGCAAATGACAAAACTAGAGGAGGGGGTCATGAGAATTTCTGATTTATAGCCAGTTGGTCAGTAGCACAAGTGACAACATGGACTTGAAATTGGCATCTCATGGGACTGAGTCTTTAACCTACATTATCTCTAGGTAGATAGTGTCAGAATTTAGTTAAATTGTAGGACACCAGATCGGTGTCCACAGAAGAGTTGAAGAATTTCATTCTTTCTTTTTTTTTTTTTAAATTTTTTTTATTGATTATGCTGTTACAGTTGTTCTATTCCCCCTTCATTCCCCTCCACCCTACCCCCCATCCCCACCCTCACCCCCCCTTTAGTTTATGACCATGTGTCTCAAGTCCTTTAGATTCTATATTTCCCATGCTATTCTTGCCCCCCCATCTATTTTCTATCTACTGTCTATGCTACTTATTTTCTGTACCTTCTCCCCCCCTTCTCCTCCTCCCACTCCCCTGTTGCTAACCCTCCTTGAGATCTTCATTTCTATGTTTCCACTCCTGATCTAGCTGTCCTTTTAGTTTGCTTTTGTTTTAGGTGTGGTTGTTAATAACTGTGAGTTTGTTGTCCTTTCACTGTTCATGTTTCTTTAACTTCTTTTTCTTAGATAAGTCCCTTTAACATTTCATATAATAAGGGCTTGGTGATGATGAACTCCTTGAATTTGATCTTATCTGAGAAGCACCTTATCTGTCCTTCCATTTTAAATGAAAGTTTTGCTGGATAGAGCAATCTTGGTTGTAGGTCTTTAGATTTCATGACTTGGAATACCTCTTTCCAGCCCCTTCTTGCCTGTAAGGTCTCTTTTGAGAAATCAGCTGACAGTCTGATGGGGACTCCTTTGTAGGTGACTGTCCCCTTAGCTCTTGCTGCTTCTAGGATTCTCTCCTTCATTTTAATCTTGGCTAATGTAATTACGATGTGCCTTGGTGTGTTCCTTCTTGGGTCCAACTTCTTTGGGACTCTCTGAGCTTCCTGGATTTCCTGGAAGTTTATTTCCCTTTGCCAGATTGGGGAAATTCTCCTTTATTATTTGTTCAAATAAGTTTTCCACTGGTGGCTGTGCCTTTCCCCCTTCTGGTACCCCTATAATTCGGATGTTGGGGCGTTTAAAGATGTCCTGGAGGTTCCTAAGACTCTCCTCATTTCTTTGAATTCTTGCTTCTTGGCTCTTTTCTGTTTGGCCATTATTTGCTTTCTTCTGGTCCACTCCATTGATTTGAGTCCCAGTTTCCTTTTCATTGCTATTGGTGTCCTGTGCAATTCCATTCATTTCAATTAGTTTCGCCTTCATATATTTGTCTAATTTGTCCGTATAATCAACCAGATCTGTGAGGATCCTGATCACCAATTTTTTAAACTGTGCGTCTGTGAGTTTTGCTATTTCTTCATCGCTTAGATTTATTTCTGGGGCTCTGAGATCCTGCTGCGCCATTCTTGGTCTGTTCGGGCCCTTTAAGTGTGAGAAGCGGCGGCTTGGATTCCCAGGTCGCTGGGTTGTGACGCTGTATGTGGGGGCGTGGTCAGAGCAGGGAAATGGCGACCCCCTCTGCCGCTTCACACAGCTGGGTGCGGAGGAGCAGTGCCTTAGGTGGTTCACCTGGGCCAGGCCACTCAGAGTCGCTGGGTTATGACGCTGTATGTGGAGGTGGGGTCAGAGCAGGGAAATGGCGGCGCCCTCCACTGCCGCTTGCCGTGGGGACCTGCCGGCCCGGTCCAACCGCCCACTCCCTCGCCTGTCCACCCTCGCGCAAATGCGCGACCTCAGTCAACACGCAGCCCCGGGCCCGGCTGTCTCCCCCTCGGTCGCTCGCCTGGTTGCTCGCTGGGTCGCTCACTAGCTCTGACCCTGCGCCTGGATTCCTCGGGCCTGAGTGTGTCTGGCCAAGTTCTCCTGTGCAACCCTGCTCCGCCAGCCGCTGGTTTCTCCCCTTACCGGTCAGGCTGAAGAATTTGTTGTTAACGGACTTCCGAAAAGTTCAATTTTCCGTGTTCTGGCTGTGTTTTCTGTTGCTAATATTTAGTTTTCTCTAATCTTGGTTGTGGGAGAGGCACAGCACATCCACCTATGCCTCCATCTTGGCGGAAGTCCCCAACAATTTTCGAAGAATTTCTTGGTGTGGGAAAAACCCCTACACATTTAGTGAGCAAAAGTAAAGTAGTACTGAGAAAGTTTTTGTAGAAGAGAGAAACATAGACTTTTCCCTTTTCAGGTGGACTGTAGGGCCAACTAGGATTGAAGCCATCTGGAAGTTATGCTAGTCATGACTCCAAGACACTTAGATGTATTGCAAGAGTTTGGAGATGATCACTTTAGGACTGTGGGGGCAGGTATTTGATCACTGTTGGTTACTTACAGAAATAGCCTTTCCCCGCAAAACTGGCTGCCTGTTTGGGGGGGGGGGCTGTGGTTCAAAGGGACCAAAAGGCCCCAAGCTCAAGGGGTGGTACCCAGTTTCTCTAAGAGATGTGATAAGACCTCTTCAAATTTCTTTCCTGTCATTCAGTCTTCAGGCTAATGGGTTAGCCCAGAACGAAGGTATTCACATGAGAGTCACTCATTTTTGTCAGAAAGCCTCACCACACAGTTTTGTTGACTTCTACATCAAGATGGCTTTATTGCTGGGGCCCCAGAGACTATATATGTACAATCTGAAAGGTCCAGGGGGTTGAGTCCAAACTGGTAGAGCTGCTCCTTATGCCTGGTGTAGAATCTCAGCATGACTCCATCCCACTGAGGTTTAATGGCTCTGAGCTTAAAGAGCCTGTCCAGGCTTCTCTGCAGACACCAAGCTTCAGGCCACAGGAAGCAAGATGGAGGGGGAGGGGAGCAGCAGGTTGGTCAATAAGCTTTTCTTGGCAGTGTTTCCTTAAAGTTTTTATTCTTAGTGGGTGGGCAAGGTTGCACCCCCTCAAGATAGAAAGGAGTTTCCTGTGGAGATGCTTCTTCTCCTTCCCCTTGGTTTGTCATTGTCTACCTAGCTAGGGCTTGTGGTGATGGAAGAGTGCTGGGTATTGGGATGTTTGGGCTTCAGAGGGTGGTGCTTACATATAAGATGTCCTTGTACTTGGCTTCCATGTGTGTCCAAAGCTGAGCCAGCATTCGGTCCCACTCTCTGAGGGGCTAGCTTAGCTTCTCCCCGTGCAGCCTCTGCCTCTCTCTGGCATGTCTCTGGGGAGTGAGCTATAAGGATGAAAGAAGATAGAATGGTGACACTCTATCCTGGAATACAGTATCCAATGGTATTCAAAAAGCATGGGATCATTCTAGAATGAGTGGTATCATTCCAGACTCCCTCAGAGCCATCAACTTTCCTGTAGTCCTTATGAAAAGTTCAAGTACCATTAAGGTATAGTAGAAAGAGTAGTGGGCTTGGGACAAGAGATCTGGGTCTCAAATCTGGTTGTCACTTATTACTGTGTAACATTGAACATCTCTCTCTCTGAGCTTCAGTCTCTTTATCTTTAAAGTCTTCTATAATTTTTTTATATATTGACTTTAGAAAGAGAGAGGGCTAAATTGTAAAAATTCTTGTGTGCCATCCTAAAACATTTCAACTCTGTCCTGTAACCCAGAGGGAACAAAGCAAAAACTTCCTGTTAAAAAAAATTAAGATATATATATTTGCTTATTTGGAAAGTTTATTCATTTATTGAACAAATAGTTATTTAGGATCTACCATGAACTAAGCCTTGTAGAAAGGAAAATAAGTAAGTCAAATATTTTCCCTTATTAGTTTTTTTAAATTAATTAATTAATTAATTAATTAATTAATTTTAGAAGGGAAAGGAAGGAGAGAGGGAGAGAAATATCAATGTACGGTTGCCTCTCACTCGTCCCCTGCTGGGAACTGGCCTGCAACCCAGGCATGTGCCCTGACTGGGAATTGAACTGCGATCGTTTGGTTTGCAGGCCCACGCTCAATCCACTGAGCTACACCAGCCAGGGCAGTTTTTTTTTTAATCCTCACCTGAAGATATGTCTTTATTGATTTTAGAGATGGGAGAGAGAGAGAGAGAAAGAGAGACCCATCAATCGGTTGCCTCCCATATATACCCTGACTTGGGATTGAATCTACAACCTGTTAGTGTATGGGATAACACTTCAACCAACTGAACCACTGGCCAGGGCCATTTCCCCTTAGTTTTGTTGTAAAACCCAGCCATTCTAAGAGGGAATATGTTTTGCTTATGAAAGACATGGCAGTGGTAGGGAGAAAGACCTGGATTTGGAGAGACCATTGAAAGAGGGTAATGGGTTAAGAGACTGATTTCTTTACTTAAGATTTTTGACATCCTGAACCCATTCTAATCCTCAGTGGTGAGTCAGTGGGGAAAGTGATACAAAAGCATAGACTGCAGTCTTCTAGAGAAGGATCCTCTTAAGTTCATCCCTTCAGGCTGGACCTCCTCAGTGATCCTCTAAGAGAAAGGGCTGAGAGGTTGGGGAGCCTACTTAGCTGCTCTTGAAGACTCCCCAATTCTTACTCCAGGAGCCTGCAAGAGATGGGTCTCCATTTCTTCCTGCAGGACCTGGCACTGATGACTCATCTCTGTGGTGGCTGCAATGGACAGCCAGGGAACCAGGTGGGGATGGAGTGGTGAAGGGAGGAAGGGAAATTGTGAGTATGAATGACTCTGCTTGGTCCAGGGGCACAAGAGCATAAAGGCCTTCTTCGTTCTTGTGGTGATTCTGAGAATCTGGGAGACCTTGGAAATCCAAGAAGAACTAGGAAACCAGGTCCCCTTTCCCCATGCCAGCTCCATGGGGATGGGGATTGTAACCCTTCTCCCCACTTACTCCCTTGGGATGAATGAGATCAAGGCCATGACTTCATTTTGCAGCATGCAAATCATCAACAATATGGCATCAAGCATCCTGGAAAGTCCCTGCCTGGAATTCTAAAGGCATTCATTTCCTCGCTTCAGGTTCCTGCCTGATTTATGCTCTGCTGGGAAGGCAGACACTAGGCATGGCAAATGGAAATCCTCCTTGTTTCCCTTCCTTGCATCCTCTGGCCCTCTTGGTTGTTCTCTCTCAGGAGCCTGTCTCCTGCCCACCTACTTGACTGACTACATACCGGCATATATGGCCTTCCCTTCACTTGGGGCCCCCTCCAGCTCATCCTCCAGCCCTTGCAAGCTCTGATTCAGCTGGTCTGCGGAAGCCTCAGCTCAGTGGACCTCACCCTTCTGCAGAGCTGTAAACAGTGCCAGGGCTCCCAGGACTGGCTGGGGACCTCACTGAATCAGTCTCCATTTGTAGGAGACCTTTCTGCATGGCATGGGCCCAGCTCCCACTCAGAGATGCACAGGACCCATGCCCACAGATAGGTTCTCCCATGGGAAACAGGCCTGCATTGTACCTAAACTGCTTTGAGATTCGCTTTTGCTAAAACTCCCTCACCCTGAATTGAGATAGCAAGTGCTTACTGTAACTTCCTAAAATCCATGCTGAAACTCCCCAGTATGGAGTGTAACCAGTTCAACCACTTTTCCCTTTTCATTTGCAAATATTCTTCTGTGATGTGATTAGCAGCATCAGTTCCTTTGTTTTCTGTAAAAGGTAATCTCCTAAAGTGAACCTGTGCATAATAAATGAGGACCATCATTTAGTGTGCCCAGAAAAAGAAATAAGGGCCTGTCATGGTGGAGGCTACAGCTTTTGGCTCCCCTTGAGAGAAAAAGCCATGTTGTCCCTTGTCCTCCGTAGGACTCGGTAGTCCATGTGAATGTCTCTCCCCCATCCACAATGTGGCAGACCCCACAAGCCAGGGTCTGCATCATCCATTGGCTTGATGGACTATGCCCTCCTCTGAGAACCTAGCAGCAGACTTCTAGTCTCCCTTATTCTCAATTTGTCCCACCCTTCCTGCTGCCCCATTCCCTGACCACCATTTTGGGATCTGATGGACTCTTCATTACTAAGAAACAAGAACACCCTTTATGTTCTGGCTCATCAGCTCTCACTGTCCATCCCTTCCTCACAATTCCAACTTGTGACTATCGTTTCCTACTAGGAGATGCTTATTTGTCAGCTCAGGCCCCTACATTAGCTCCAACCCTCCAAGCCCTTAAGGATAGAAAAATGCTCCAGTGGCCCACTTGTATTGCTTCCAAAGCTTCTGTCCTTCTTACCTAAGTGGTCTTGGAGCAACTCCTTTTCTAGTACTGCCAGCCTGTGCATGGATTCAGTTTCCACATCTGCCCTGGCAAGTTGTAAGAGCTTCAGCTTATGATCTCAGCCTTCCTTATTCCCCTTCCATAGTCTGCACTTTCTTCTTGAAGGACATCTGTGGATCACTAAATGAGTGGCAGTGTCTACTGAGTTCACCACTGTGTCCTTACTGTTTACCACAAATATGTGTAATGAATATATAAGAAAGGCATAGAGCCAAAGGGGCTCAAAGAAGGGGTGGGTGCCAGTTTTCCCACTTTACCAGCTTTGTGGAACCTGGATGTGAGGATATGAAGGAGAAGGGTCCAGAAAACTCCATCTTGTCATGTGAAGGGCTGAATTCTCTCTTCTCAGTCTCCAAGCCAGAGCATGGAGAAGCAGGGGCACACACCTTGACTCACCAGCACCTGTGTGTTTTATCTGCCAGCTTTTATCCTTTCTTCTTTGGACTTAGGTGGCATCTCCTTCCTGTCCTGGGGGAAGAAGGTGACTTGTATTTAGGTTTTGGACATGGGGATGCTTTCCTGATCCCTAGATTGAATCAGGAGTCCCAGGGAGAGTTAGAGTGCTAGTCTCCAAATCTGTCTCTTATACTTTCCAGAAGCTTTCATTCTTGGTCTCCTGGAAACCTTAGGCAAGGCAGAAGTCAGTGGGGAGTCTGGAGCTGTTTCTCTTTACAAGTCAGGCTCTACTTACAGAAATCACTCCTTCCAATCCTCTTTTGGAGAAAATAAATCTCAGTACCTTGTCTCTTCCCTCTTCCTATTATCTTTACCCTGCCTCTTCCTACCTATAGGACCTTCTCTTATCTCTGTTGTGTCTTCCTATGAAGTGACCCACTCACGGGGAGGGGCAGAGAAAAGGCCCAAACAGCTAGGAGAATGGGGAGGAGACTTGGTTCTGGGAGCCAATCCAGGGTTGCAAATTTCCTTCAGGGGCAGAACTGAAAACTGAAAGATTGGGTTTCCTGAGACTGTTTGTCCAGACAACTGGGAAACATGAAGTTCATCAGAAGGTAGAATGGGCTACATACAAAGCTTAAAATACCAAGCTCCCAGAGGGCTAATTCTCTCCTTATCCCCAAATCCAAGTGTAGTTCGAGAAGAAAGGGCACTGGAACTCATTAGCTACAGTTCACTTCCATGTATCACTGCCTGCAATTTGGAGACGTACAAATGACAGGCTTACACATTTGAAATAATGCTGTAGTGTTGATACAGAGAGAAAAGACTAATGGTACCAGTTTGGGGCAATTGACATCCCTAGGTCTTATCAACAAAGGACATTATTAGGCTTAAAACTCAAGATCCCCTTCAGGAAGGCATTCTTCAGGGTATGAGGGAAAGGAATGCAGGAGAAGGTAGTTAAGAGAGTTTCCCCCTTTGGAGAATGGGACATAGAGGAAAGGCAGACCCATGGACTCCAAGTGCTGACCTAGAGGAATGCAAAAGTAGAAAGGGCAGTGATTAGAGATAAGAGCTATGAGTTCTCATCTCCCCTCTGGATATGTAAACTTAGGTACACCATTTAATTTTGCTCAGTCTCAGTTTCCTGGTCTTTAAATCATTGATTTTGCAAATCCTGAAAGGCCTTTGTTTTAACTGGGTATATACAGGGCTATCTTCTCTTATGGTGACTTAATTTATTGCTCTTCTTCCTGCATTCCCTTATGTGTTTTTCAGACAGATACTGAGTGAGAAAGTATACTTCGGCTCTGGGCAGTAAGTAGTAAGGGGCTCCCTCTCATGGACTTGCTTGACCTTTTTTGGAGTCTCCTAAATTTTTCTATTTAAATTATTTATGGGGCAATGTTGGAGGTGCTTCCCTCTTTGAGATGCTTTCTAGCATCATGCTGGAGTTATGAGTGGTTGGAAAAACAAACTCGGGGAAGGGAGTATGAAGGATGACTTGCCCTTGCTGGGAAGCCCGTACCCTCCCTCCAGTCCTGCGGTATGTGGAGCCTTGTCATCTGTCTGCCACCTGGATCTCTTGGCACCTTACTGGCTAGAATGAAAACAACAGAAACTTCAGGAGTCTTCCCCTTGTAGATTAAGAGAAGTTTGGGCTCTTTCTTTAACTATTTCTTTCTCTCTCTGTTTCCCTCAATATTTTTGGTCAATTGTCTATAGCCAGGAACAAATCTGAAGAAATAGCCGTAAGATCTGGAAATTAAAAATCCTTCCTTCAGGGAGCAGGCAGATTCAAGAAGAGGATGATTCATGTTGATTTGTCACCATGACTACAGGGTACTTCTCTGAACCTTTGGATATTTTACAGAGTAAAGAGATGAACCGGGCTTGTCTTTCCAAGTGCTTACATTTCTGTACCTCAGGGTTATATAGCCTTGTGCACATTTCTCAAACATGGAAAATACTTTTCTTCTAATCTTTTTTCCCCTTTTTAAAAAATATTTTATTGATTATGCCATTACAGCTGTCCCATCCCCCCCCAACCTTTTCTTCTAATCTTTTTTTAAAAAATATTTTATTTATTTTTAGACAGAGGGGAAGGGAAGGAGAAAGAGTGGGAGAGAAACATCAGTGTGTGGTTGCCTCTCATGTGTCCTCTACTGGGGACCCAGCCCGCAACCCAGGCATGTGCCCTGACTGGGAATTGAACCAGTGACCCTTTGCTTCACAGGCCTGTGCTCAATTTACTGAGCTACACCAGCTAGGGCATGTTTCTTCTAATCTTGAAGCATATTTTTTGTTTGGTCTTTCCCCAGAACCCTCTCTTTCTGCCTAGAAATGCAACAGAAGGCCTATCCTAACCCTTCTCCTCAGCTAGAAGCCTGTTTGGGGATATTTTCCATGGAATGTTAGTATCTCCATTATGCTAATGCGTGGAATGACATATTGAGGACAGAGATTACAGAATACAAAAAACATATCAGGCCTCAGAAGAGCATTTACTTTTCAAATATGTTCAGTCAACCAACTTTCAGGTGGAGAATGAGGATGTGGTTTGGGGTGAAGGTGAAATAGGATAAGAAAAATGCTACATGTCACATGATATGATACAGACTGAGTTAGCTCTAGAATAACCCAGAAATAAGAATGACATTGTAATCAACAATCCAATCCCATCTCTAGTACATTTGAAAATCGTGAAAAAAGTCAGTCTTTCCTTTTTTTTTATTAACTCAGTTTAGAAGTGAAAATAGAAAAGATCATTTCAGTACAGCTCTGTCTTCCTTTGCATAGGATCACATCTGAGAGTTTTGAAGAGATGCAGAGAAGGTAAGGATTGCTCCCCAAGCTTTATTCAGATGTGAAAGATAGGTCATTCTGTATTAAAAGAAATATGGCTTACTGCAGCAGAAACTAAGTGAAAATTATACTATTCCATTCTATACAGGCTGTACTAAAGATAATTCAAATTGGAAGTCTTTAACCAACCCAAAGACTTGTAGATGACCTAGACAAGCTCAGCTCCAAGGGTTAATTTCTTTTCTTAAAAAAATTATTGAATTTATCGAGGTGACATTGGCTAATAAAATTATATAAGTTCTAAGAGTTAATTTCTTACCTGTACCCCAGTAAATCTAGAATTTGACAATAAGGAGAAAAAAAATTACTCTTGTGGTACCTACTGTGGATGACTGTGGTAGGTATAAGAAATAAATAGTTATGAAAATTTAAATATTTGTTTTTCAGAGAGAGGGGAAAGGAGAGAAACATAAGTTGTGGTTGCCACTCACATGTCCCCCACTGGGGACCTGGCCTGCAACCCAGGCAAGTGCCCTGATTTGGAATCAAACCAGCGACTACCTGGTTCACAGGTCTGCACTAAATCCACTGAGCCATACCAGCCTGGGATGGTTTTGGAAATTTAGAAGAGGAAAGGATTGTTTCTTGCTGGAGTGCCTGGACACTATTTGAGTTGAGTTTTGAAGAATGGATTGGATTTTAGTAGCACACCTCAGAGCAGAGGGAATGCCCTGAATAATGGTTATGAAAAATAAATAAATAAAAATTGTGGTATTTTGTGACATGGTGAGTCATCCAACACAGAATATAGGTATTGGAATAATATAAAACTGCAAGGTAATTTGGAGTTACATCATAACTCTTTATTCAGGAGGAATGGGGAGTGTTTAAAGTTTTTTTGTGATGCTGTCAGAACTACAATTTAGGAAGACTAGTCTGGTGGCAGGTTGGATTAGAGGCAATAGGACAACTAGTGAGGAAAAAGTTTCAAATAGGCCAGGGGAGAGAAAGGAGGGTCTGCAGCAAGGCAGGTGTTAAATTTTGACTATTATCTAAGAACTTTGCCTAGATTCCTAACTCTCTAGGTGTCCTAAACTCTTTCTAGGTAGGAAATAATTAAAGGAAATTCTACTGATAGGAAATTATGTTGACTTCAAAATTTGTCTTAGATAAAGGCCTTTGAATTAAAAAACCAGGAAATCTAGTCAAAAGGCTCTTGAGTTCAGAGGTATTTTTTCCCTCTTACAAAAATACTTGATAAGCTTAATTCCTTAACTAGTCAAGGGTTTGTGGAAGAGCCAGGTAGGTGAGGGATCTAAGGTGGAACTGAGCAATGATTGGCACACCAAGGCCTGCAAGTTCCCTGAGGCTAAGAATTAGCAAATTAGGTCAGGACACTTCCCTCTTTGAGAGGGAAGTTCCTTTTTTCAAGATTATTCCAACGGAACTCATATTAGAGAAGTGGAAGTAACTGGGAACAACATTCTGTTTCTGACGAGTAACAGGAGCTCCTTAGGCCAGGGCTCACAGCTGTCTTAGTTTCAGTGGTATGCGGTCTGGGACTGGTGCAGGCGGTGCAGGCCTGAGGTGCAATGCTCTGAGTAGGGAAATCTTAAGTACATACTCAGTTCCCAGAAAAAGGAACTAGTGTTCGGAAGCCAAAAAAGAGGGAAGTGTTTTGTTTTCAGAAGTCAAAAGTTTTGGAAGAAGAACTCCCGGCTTGTCTCAAACTTTTCTGGGGCCTAATCTATTTCCAACACTCTTCAGCATTCACATTCCTGTTTTCGGGCCAGACTTACTGATGAGTTTAAAACACCAGGGAGTAGGGAAATTTACTCCCCTTTTACTCCCACAATGTGAAGAAGCAATTTCCTTATTTGTCGGATGTGGGCTAAAGACTTGATGTTAAGGTTCTTTCTAAAGCTACATGTCTTAAATATTCCAATGATCCGCACAAGGAACTTCAATCTACTGCCCACAAGGAAGATGGGGAGCTCGGCTTCAGCCTACTACGCAGACTCCAAGCTAAAGCCCATCCCTTCTTTGCCCCGCTACCTCACGAGGGAGCTCCGCCCAGTCCGACCCGAAGGCAAGGGTGGTGGAGGCAACGCGGAAACTTGGTCGCGGCTTTTCGGGAGGTTGTAGCTTTAGGTTTTGCTACCTAGTACCGACACAGACGCCAGCCTTCGTGAGTTCAGAGCGCTCCTCCCACATCTAGCCCGGCGCCCGGAGGGGCGCGCCCCCGCTGCCCCGCGCTCCCGGCACCGCCCACTCCCCTCCCTGCAGCCGTCCCTCCCTCCGCCCGGACTGCCAGCGGTGTTGGCAGCGGCAGGGCGAGGCCCCTCCTTCACGCCTTCCTTCTTTCCCTCGCTCGCTGCCAAGCGGAACTGGCTGACGCGGCTGAGCCCCCAACGCTCTTCGGGCCATGGCCGGCAACGTGAAAAAAAACTCTGGGGCTGGGGGTGGCGGCGGTGGCGGTTCCGGGAGCTCGGGCTCTGGAGGCCTGATCGGGCTCATGAAGGACGCCTTCCAGCCTCACCACCACCAGCACCACCAGCACCACCAGCACCACCAGCTCAGCCCCCACCCGCCGGGGACCGTGGACAAGAAGATGGTAGAGAAGTGCTGGAAGCTTATGGATAAGGTGAAAGGCCTGCGGACAATCCGCGGGAGGAGTGGTAGGCGTGGGCGGAGGGGCCGAGGGAGTGGAAGGAAGAAACGGGAAGCTGGGGGAGGGGACGTGTCATGCGAGGCTGGGGTGGCGAGGGGCTGGGGTGACAGGGCCGAAGGTAGGGGTCATGGGGATGGGGAAGAAGGGGGTTGGCGGTGGGGAAAGGCTGTGGTGGTTGGGGGTGGGAGAAGGTTGAGGTGGTGCGTTTGGGGTAGCGACATAAAAGCGGCTGAGGTGAAGGTTAACTGGGAAGCCACCCGGGCGGAAGTATAATGGGGGGTGCGGAGTTTGGGGCTCTGTACAGGGTATAGGGATGCCAGTCATAGAATTGGCCCTGGGAAGTAGGAGCGTGGGGGGGGGGGTGGAGATGAGGAAGAGTGTTTGAATCACCGGCTAGGGCTATTAGTTGAATGAGGAGTAGAACTTTGACTACGGAACTTAATTACTTTAGGGGCTTTGAGAGACCTGGGGTCAGGCCCACTCCGCAGGCAAATTGCGTTCTAGTGTTTTGTTTTCTTTTCCTTATTAAGATGTAACACCAAGATAAAAGAAACGGAGATGTGTAAATGGGCCAAACAAGGAACTTTCCTCCACGTCCAGCGCTGGCTCGTTTTTATCCTCAAAACATTGGATGTTCTGCTGGTGCTTAGATGTGCACTGATTAAACAAATTTTGGTTAGAACCATTATCTTGGAAAAGACGTATTGAATGAGCTTTCTAAGCAGCAGCTTCTGACTTGTTTCAGAACTTCCTCCTTACATACAGTGTTTTATCTGGGTTCTACAATAGTTTGTGTAACGGACCCGTCTCCCTATTGCCGCACCTGACTCTAAGCTTGTTTAATGAGTTTCTTTGATTACCTGTTAAAAATTTTTTAAAGCAAGGTTGAAAACTAACACCATTATATTTAGCCTTTTTACTTTTGGCATTTGGGAGAATTTTACTTCTTTATAGTTGTGTTTATATAACGAAATATACTTGTTCGTCTCAAGTACTGAAAAGTTTTTAAGCAGTCTAACGATTTGTTCCGGAGAATTCAATACAGCATTTCCTTGATATTTTTCACATTATTAATTAATAACATACTTTGCAAAATTTACACTGCATATGAAAAGTGATTAGAAGGGTCTGACATATTGTAAGAAAATGATGTTAGTTCTTCCCAACTAAAATTGGTTCCATTCTGGTCCAAGGTTCCTCTTCTGAAAAGTTCTTCAAGGATTGTTTCAGATTCGAAACAAGTAATAAAAATGATTATGAAGCACCTGGCAAATATAAATGTGCTATGTAAATGCTTAATAAGTCCTGTGTGTGAATTAACAATCCTGTAGTGCATGGTTTCAGAGCCATGTTTTCTTATGTTAAATTGTTGATGTTGTAATTAATGATACAAGTATTTTTATGTTGACTACATGGGTGTGGCAATGCTCATTTCATTATTAGAAATTGTAATAAAACTATTATAGAAAATTAGGCATGTAAAGGAAACTTGAAATGCATTGGCATATTTAACAAAATATATATATTCAAAATCTGAAGTTTGTAGGCTTGTATTTTAGGGATTTACAGTTAGGACTAAAATGGTTCTCCTGGAATAGAAAACATGTTTACATTTCTAATTAGTTTCTCATATGAGACATTTGTACGCAGTGTATCAAAACTGTATTGATTAGAGACTTTTTCTTAAAAACTTTGATCAAACTTTTGAGTCTCTGTAAGGTAGTCCAAATTAAGATCTTTCTTTAATTCTTACCCTTTTCATCTTTTTAAAGTATGTGTATTGAATTTTTATTTCTTCTGCAGAATGTTTAAGTATTTGGGAAGAATAAAGAGGACTCCGAGTTTTGAGTGAAAATGATTTTTCAGGTGTTAAATAGTTTCAAGGAAAGGAGGCTTCCAACTTTTCCATGTTAGCATGGGCAGAGGGGTGTTTTACTCTTGTGTTGCTTGCCTTGGAAGATAACTTTAGTACTCTCTGTGCTCTATATCACATATTACTGGTTGGGCTGAAAGGAAAATTCAGTTCTTTCTTATGTATTAGTCTGATAGATTCATACTAGTGGGTTGGCCAAAAAGTCTGTTAATGTTTTTTCTGTACAATAGCTCTAGTAGTGCTTAGTTGTCTTTAACTTTATTCGAAACAATTTTGTTAGATTGTATTGTGTATGACAACTGTCATATCAGTGTGCTTTTAAAAAAACGTACCAAAATTGGTGAGTTTTTGTGTAGCCATTTTAATATTAAAGATGGAAGAAAATACAACATTTGGCTTGTTATGCTTTATTATTTCAAGAAAGGTGAAAAAACAGTTAAAACACAAAAAAGATTTGTGCAGGGTATGGAGAAGGTGCTATGACTGATGGAACGTGTCAGAAGTGGTTTGCAAAGTTTCTTAGTACTATTGACATTTTGGCCAAGTAATTCTTTGCTGTGGGGCTATCATGCATTGGAAGCCCCATTTGGGGCTTCCAATTTTTGGAAGATGTTCAACAGCACCCCTGGCCTCTACCTAGTAGAAGCTAATAGTGGGAGATAGCTGATGAACTCACCATATCCAAATCAATAAAGTTATTGGTGAAAACAAAAAGTATGTCTTTTATTTTATGGAAAAAATGTAACATACTTTTTGGCCAACACAGGACTTTCCAGAATTTCTGAATACTTCTGTAGTGTTGTTAGGTCACACAATCTCTTTTACTCTTGACGTTTTGAGCATAGGTGTTCTCTCTCTCTCTCTCTCTCTCTCTCTCTTTTTTTTTACTATTTTTATTGTTGAAAGTCTTAAATGTGACTTCATGTGGTATAAGTGGTGAAAAACTGGACTGTCAAATCCACAAAATGTTTCACACCTGTTTTGTCCTTGTCATAGACGTTAGATGAATATTATTCCAGCCTATTATTAATCAGTCCATTGATTTAGCGCTGAGAATTTTTAGTCTCCTCCCCTCCGGCTATATTGGATGTATGGAGATGGAAAAGTTGGAATAAGCCATGGGTTCTGGTAAACATAGGCCTAATTTACTAATCTATTCATAGGCTCAATCTACTAATCCATTGTGGAACTTAAACTTGTTGGAAAAATGCTTGTGCTACTATAATGCTTGTTACTAAACAAAAGACATACTCAGCTTCTAGTTGTTTTTTTTAAACCAACCAGTATAATGTGTAATATTTTTGTAAGCGCTTGTATGCGAAGAGAGTGGCTAGTAAAGAGACTACTGGACAGGGGAGTGGAAAGAGAAGTTGTATAAATTACCTTAAATGTAAATTAGGTATTAAGGTATTTAGTTTAGTGAGAGACTCAAAATTTCATTATGAAGTAGAGTGGGAGGTGGCAAACTTTTCTGTTAGGGGATAGATAGTAAATATTTTAGGCATTGTTGTCCACATACTCTGGCCAATATTCTTTGTTGTTTTTACAATACTTGAAAAATGTAAAAGCCATTCTTAGCTTGCAGGTGTACAAAAAAATGGCTGTAGCCTGTAGTTTGCTTGCTTCTGAAGCTGAACATCATTCTGGCAGAATTTTAGGTTTATATTGTTTTCATTTTATATCAGCTGATATCATTAAAACATTAAGGTGTTGATTTTATTTATTTTTTAAAAGAAATAAAGAGATGAATAAAATAAAAAAAGAATAAATAAGTAGAGAAGAAAGAAAGAAAGAAAGAAAGAAAGAAAGAAAGAAAGAAAGAAAAAACAAGTAAATTACTTATTTATTTTTAGAGAAAGGGAAAGGAAGTTAGAGAGGATGGGAAACATCAATGTGTGGTTGCCTCTTGTGTGCCACCATCTAGGGACCTGGCCTACAACCTAGGCATACACTCTTACTGGGAATTGAATCAGTGACCCTTTGGTTTGCAGGCCAGCACTCATTCCACTGAGCCATACCAGCCAGGGTAGGTGTTGATTTTTGAAAAAATAGGATATAGTTTGTCTTGGCTGGGGTTGCTCAGTTGGTTATAGCGGTGGTCCCCAACCTTTTTTGGCATCAGGATCAGGGACCACTTTAGTGGAAGACAGTTTTTCCATGGTGAGCAGGGGTGGGGGTGTGTGTGTACAGGGAAAGAAGGTTGCAGCCCAGGCCAGGGAGGCTTCCTTTTTCATTTGCTAGCCTGCTGTGCTGCTCACTTCCTGCTGTGTGGCCCTGTTCCTAACAGGCCAAAGGACTGCTATTATTGGCCCCAGGGGTTGAGGATTTTTGAGTTAGAGCATCATTCTGATATGCCAGGGTTGCAGGTTTGATCCCTGGTCAATGAATGCATCAGGAAGTGGAATAACAAATTGATGTTTCTCTGTCTCTCCCTCTCTGCCTCTCCATCCCTCCCCCATCAAATAAAAAAAATTAAAAAGGATATAATGTACTGGAAAATGCCTCTTAAAGCGTATTGAAAAAAAGTGTTTTCAGCCTCAGATTTTGAAAACCCTTAAGCCTGGGTCTCCTGGATGAGCCATGGAAGGACGTCTCTAAAATATTCTCTAATCGTATGCATCATTTTAGTCAGTTGAATAAAAAAAACAGTAAAATCAAATGATATTGCTTGAAACTTGTTAAAAAATCATGTAGGGAGATGATTATCTCTTCAAACAGCACATTCAAAGGTAGGTATTGAAAAGTGCCATATCCTGCTGGGGTAAATTTTGCTCTGGGTGGGGCATCACTTTTAATTTTTAATTTTTTAAAGAAAGATTTTATTTATTTTTAGACAAGAGGGGAAGGGAGAAAAAGAGGGAGAGAAACATCAGTGCGTGGTTGCCTGTTGTGTGCACCCCCTGCTGAGAACCTGGCAGGAAATCCAGACATGTGCCCTCAACTGGGAGGCAAATTGGCAACCCTTTGATTTGCAGGTTGGCTTCAACCACTGAGCCACACCAGCCAGGGTTCTTTTTAAATAATACCCTTTAACATTTCATGTAATACTGGTTTGGTGGTGATGTATTCCTTTATGTTTTTGTTGCCTGTGAAGCTCTTT